AGACAGAAGAAGAATAAAAACTAGGGTTATACAAAAGAGATACAACTGAAATTGTTATGTTTCCAGGCACATAGCTGATCGGCACAGAGACAGACAAGAATTTATACCACCTCTTCCTCATTGTTGCTTTTGGTTGCCATTGAGTTGATGCTGACTCACGGTAACCTCATGTGTACAAACTAGAACTGATCCATATGGTTTTCAAGGTTGTGACTTTTCAGAAGCAGATCAGCAGGGCTGTCTTCTGAGGTATTACTGGATGGGTCTGTACAACAAACCTTTCAGCTACTAGTTGAGTGCTTAACTATCTGTGCCACTCAGCCATTTAACCTACCACTGCATATGTACCTTGCTGATATCTGTGAAGATATATAAGACTGTACAGTATGCAGGGCAGCTAATTATTTATTATGACTTTTCTAGTCCAATTTCTCCATCCTGTGATATACTGTAAATCCTAACCTTTCTCTATGCCTGTGATTATGGGTCCATTTGGAAGTGAGTTGCTAAGAAGTAAGGATTACAGTGAAACTAAGGATTAAGGATGCCCCCAATTTAGAATCCTGGTGTGGCATTGTAGGATAAGCACTGATCAGCAGTTCAAACCCACTAACCACTCCTTGGAAACCTTATACAGGACCGCCTAAAAGTCAGAAATGACTAGAAGGCACTTAACAAAAATAACAGTGTTAAAGTGGACTATACAAACTGGTTCTATTCATCCTAGCTTGGAGGAATTTAATGATGTGAATCTCCACCTGGGGTCATTTGGCATAGAGGCTCAGCTGACAAAGATCAGGATTGACAAGGGAATACAGACCCCAGCACGGGACCCCAGGCCATATGCACTTTTGTGGGTAAAATGGCCCAGGGGTAGGGAAGAGACTTTCTTGGGACTCTAGACACAGGAGCCCAATGTACTGTAATCCTAAAACCAATCAATAAAACATTAAAGGGGCTGAAGATGAGACTCAAGGGATATGGGGATACAATGGTTGATGGCTCTAAGGTGAAATTTTGGATGAGAATTGCAAGATTTAAACAGATATTGGATGAGGTAGTTGCATCTCCCTTACCTGAATGTATTATTGGTATGGATATTATGTTTAATTGGGAAGCACTCCCTCTATGTAATATTGTAAAATGGAAGTTGTATAATTCTGCTCTTAGGCCACAATTGATTGGACATGCTACATGGGAAACCGCTGTTGTTGTTAAGCACTGTTAAGTCGGTTCCCTTTATAGGGTTTCCAGCAAGCAGCTTGTGGGTTTAAGCCGCCAACCTTGTAGTTAGCAGTCCTGTGCTTATCTTACAGTGCACACCAGGACTCCTCATTGAATTTATTAAGGTTTTTAAATTTTTGCCAGGGTTTAGTTTCATTTTATAACAGAGTTTGTTAATAAACAGCCCTGTTAATATTTGTGAATTGCTCAAACCCATTCAGACTGCTCATCTAAACTAGAACAGGAAACCTGGTGTGTATGAGGAATTTACTGCTTTGATTAAAGACACGCTAAAGGCCACGAATTCTCTGTATATAACAGCCCTGTACAGTCTGTGAAAAAGGCAGATAACTAATGGAAGTTGACTATAGACTATCAAGGCCTAAATTGAGCAGTGACGTCTGTGGATTCAACTGTTCCAGACATGGTATCAACAGTGCAGAAAATACAACAGGCTAAAGGAGACTGGTAATTCAAGATTGATCTTGCCATTGCCTTTTCTTCCATCCCAGTCTCAGAAAAGAGTCAGCCACAGTTTGCTTTCCTGTGAGAAAGATCACAATTCACTTTCAGTGTGTTGCCTCAGAGTTATTTGAACTCAGCATATAATCAAGAGCCAATGGACACTGGGCAAGACCTGGGGACTCTTGGGCCCAGAGTCAGTGGCATAGCCACAGAGGACTAGAGTAGACAGTGAAACATCCAGATAAGAAGAGAGGGCATATGCATAAGAACACCCACACTTGCAGATAATACCCACTTGTCCTGGCTTTAATGACTGGATGATCAGAGCTCAACCAGAAGTAAAAAGAAGAGGGAAAAGAGTATTCTCATACAATTTGATGAACTTGACCTACACCTATGGAAGCAGTAGCTCAAAAGAGGGAACAAATCCTTACAGCAAGAATCATTCCCACCCCCTCCACACACAGAGTAGACAGGGATGGGCAATTTGGACATTTGCTATCCAAAATGGGGGGGGGGGGGGGGGGGGGCTACAAAGGCAAGAAGTGACTGGCTTACAAGCTTTCAAGGGGAAACCTAGATCCAGAGGGCCTGGAGGAAGGTAGAATCTCCAGTGAGTAGCATTCAATCTGACTAGGCGGGGCTGATGCAATGAAATGCAGAAGGGTCTCTTGTGATACAATGTTGTTGTTGTTGTTGTTAAGTGCCGTCGAGTCAGTTTCGACCCATAGCGACCCTGTACAGGGTTTCCGAGGGTGTAAATCTTTACGGGAGTAGAAAGCCTGATCTTTCTCCCGCGGAGCAGTTGGTAGTTTCGAACCGCTGACCTTACAGTTCGCAGCCCGATTTGTAACCACTACACTACCAGAGCTAGTGAATAATTATCAGGACTGATTGTGAGGATTGGAAATGTAAAGGTAGACGTTTTATAGCAAGGAGGGGAGTGATTAAATTTTCAGTCTAGGAGCGGAGGTCCCTAGGACCATCAAGGGAGAAGAGCAGAGAGCGGGACCCTACCCAGAGAAGCAGTGATGCCTGAAATGGAGCCAGAGATGACGTGGAGAGATGGAGCAGCTGGAGATTTTAGATCCAGAGAGGGAGAGTGACTGTGTGCTGAAGACCTGGGGGGTACGAGGGAAGGATTGCATGAAGAGGATTGTAACCATGGCAATGAGACCGATATACGACAGAATGAATGTAAAACTAATGTTCTCTCATGTAAACTATCACATAATTGACAATAAAACATTTAAGGAAAAAAAAAAAGCCAATGACACTGAAGGAAGAAGTCCAAGGTCCACTGAAGGCACTGACAAAGAACAAGGCTCTGGAAATTGATGTAATACAAACTGAAATCTTTCAACAAACTGAGGCAGCATTAGAGGCACTCAATCATCTATTCCAAGAAATTTAGAAGACAAATTCCTGGACAACTGATTGGAAGCAATCCATATTTCTGCCAATTCCAAAGATAAGACCCATTGGAATGTGGAAATCACTGAACAATATCATTTATATCACAAGAGAGTAAAATTTTACTAAAAAGTACATTGACAGGGAACTGCCAGACGTTCAAGTCAGATTCAGACAAGGACATGGACCAAAGGCTTTCAATTGTGTGGATCATGACAAGCTATGATCAACACTGCAAAGAATGAGTATTCGGAAAATTTAATTGTGCTCATGTGGAACCTGTACACAGACCAAGAGGCAGTTGTTTAAACAGAACAAGGGGACACCGAATGATTTAAAATCAGGAAAAGTGTGTGCCAGGGTTGTAGTCTTTCTCCATATTTATTTAATCTGTATACTGAGCAAATAACCCGAGAAGCTGGATTATATGAAGAACAAGATTTGAGAAAGACAATTACAACCTGCAATATGCAGATGATAAAACCTCACTTGCTGAAACTAAAGAGGACTTAAAATACTTACTGATAAACATCAAAGACAACAGCCTTCAGTATGGGTCGCATCTAAATGTAAAGAAAACAAAAATCCTCACCATTGGACCAATAAATATCATAAGTGGAGAAGAGACTGAAGTTGTCGAAGACTACATTTTTTGCTTGAATCTACTATCAAAACACATGGAAGCAGCAGCCAAGAAATCAAACGGCATATTACATTACGCAAATCTGCTGCACAAGACCTCTTAAAGTGTTCAAAAGCAAAGATGTCAGTTTAAGAACTAAAGTGCACCTGGCCCAACCCATGGTGTTTTCAATAGCTTCATATTCATCTGACAGTTGGACAGTGAATAAGGAAGATCATAGAAGATTTGATTCATGTGAGTTATGGTGTTGGATAAGAATACTAAAAGTATGACGGACTGCTAGAAAAACAAACAAATCTGTGTTGGAAGAAGTACAATCAGAATGCTCCTTAGAAGCCAGGATGGCAACACTTCATGTCTCATACTTCGGACATGCTATCAGGAGGGACCAGTCCCTGGAAAAGCACATCATTCTAGGTAAAATGGAGGGTCAGCCAAAAAGAAGAAGATCCCCAATGAGGTAAATTGGTACAGTAGCAGCAGCAATAGGATCAACTTTAGCAATGACTATGAAAACGGCACAGGATCAAGCAATGTTTGTTTCTACTGTTCATAAGATTGTTATGAGATGGAACTAGCTTGATAGCACCTAACAACAAACAACAAGTAATAAGGCTTAAAGTGAAACTAAGGATTAAGGGTGTCCCATCTTATTAGAGGGTATGACTAACTCACCACCCTTAGTTTACCTTGGAGGCCTGGTCTGATTCCAATTTATAGTACTACTTTGGAAATTTTCACTCTATTGTCCTGGATTTTGCATCTGGATCATTCCATCTAACCTCCAAATCGTGGGACTCTCAGCCCATCACCTGACCTGATTCACCATCTTCCACAGCCAGGTGTAACAACAGCCTGTCATCTGACCTGCCCATATGGGTTTCTCAGCTCCTAAGACTACATGGGTAAGAATATTCCTCCAGACTGAGCTCTGAACTACAGATTTTAGACTTGCAAGCCTCCAAAACTGCATGAGCCATTTCCTTTGACACAACAGTTGTGAGTTTTATGAGACATTGCAGCATGTTGTAGAGCCATGGGACTTGACAGATAGGATTCGTGGTGATTTATATTAAGAACTATGAAGTAGACATGTTATTCCAAATTATAACATGTTAGAAAAGTTGAACAATTGGGCTATCTTTAACCTCAGGTCTCATGCTGATCTTTCTAAATAAAATAATTCATACACAGTAAAACTTTTATGAAGGCCAGAAGCTATGTAAGGCAGAAAAGGAAAATTCATGTATTTTACCAAAAAATGAGCATTAGAAAAGTTGTAGACTGTTTCCAGTCAAATGTGAAAAACTTGTGAACCTGGAAAAACAAGGTAGCCCTGTCAAGTTCTAGTTCTCACAGGTTCACTGTATAGACCATGTATATGATCTAAAGGAGAAGATCCTCCTTTATTAGATAAATGATCTTTTTGATAGAAAGACTTGTTTAGAAGACAGTTCAGTAATCTTGCTTTTAAGGTCTTGACCTTTATTAATAAAAGAGGAATGCAGCATGGTCAAGTCTAACAACCTCAAACTATAAACAGCAAATACTCAAAACCTTGACAAGGTTTTAACCAACAGAATGAGTTAGTCACTTCCTCCAGTAAAAACCTTTGTAAGTGTATTTACCCATTCACATATCAGTGCTTGTTAAATACCGTTCCAGTATTCTAATATATACTGAAAGAGTTAGTTAGTTACTTGCCATCAAGCAGATTCCAACTCATAGTGACCTTAAATACAGCACAAAACACTGTGAGATCCTTCACTAATCCTCACAATCATTGTTATGTTTGAGCCCATTGTTGCCACTGTATCACTTCATCTTGTTGGGGATCTTCCTCTTTTCTATGGATCCTCTATTTTTCCAAGATGATGTCCTTCTCCTGGAGCCTGGTCCCTCCTGATAAGAGAGAGGAAGTCTTGTCATCTTTCCTTCTAAGGAGCATTCTGCCTGTTCTTCCAAGACATTTGTTTGTTTCTTCTGGCAGTCCATGGTAATACGACTTTCAATCTTTGCCAACACCATAATTCAAATATACTGATTCTTCTATCATCTTCCTTATCCATTGTCCCAACTTTCACATATGAGACGAAATACCATAGCTTGTGTCAGGCACACCTTAATCCTCAAACTGACATCTTTGCTCCTTAACACTTTAAAGAGGGGTTTTTGTTTTGTGTGGTTTTTTTTTGCAGATTTGCCTAATGCAATACATCAGTTAAATTTCTTGACTGACACTTCCATGAGCATTGACTGGGGATCCAAGCAAATTGAAGCCTTTGGCAACTTCAATCTTTTCTCCATTTATCATGATGCTGTTTACTAGTCCAGTTGTGAGGATTTTCATTTTCTATAAACTGAGGAGTAATCCATACTGAAGGCTTTGATATTCATCAGGAACTATTTTAAAATTTCTTCACTATCACTAAGCAAGACTGTTTCATCTACATATCCCAGGTTGTTAATGAGTCTTCCTCCAATCTTGATGTCATGTTCTTCTTCATATAATCTATCTTCTCATATTACTTGCTCAGCATACAAACTGAATAAGAATGGTGAAAGGATACAACCCTGATGTACACCTTTCTTGATTTCAAACCATTCAGTATCTCCTTGTTCTGTTCTAATGACTGCCTCTTGGCCTATGTATAGATTCCTTATGAGCACAATCAAGTGTTCTGAAATACCCATTTTTTAAAATATTACCCATAGTTTGGTATGTTCCACACAGGTGAATGCCTTTGCCTAGTCAATAAAGCATCTTTAACATCTTTCTGGTATTCTCTGCTTTCAGCCCAGATTCATCTGACATCAGCACCCTATCTCCATAAAACAGCATTTGTTTTACGATTAAAATATAATATTTTGTCAATGTGATCATTTTACACACATTTTCAAGTCAAATGAATACTCTTGGAAGATGGGCACCTTTATTCTATGACTTTGAGTATCCCCAGCACTAAGAAACCTGGTTCTACCAACACATTTGTTATTGCTGGTACATGCCATTGAGTTGGATCTGACTCATAGTAACCCTGTGTAGGGTTTCCAAGGAACAGCTAGTAGGGCTGAACTGCCAACCTTGCAGTTAGCAGTCCAGTGCTTATGCTAAAGTGCCATACCAGGACTCTGTCAAAACATACTCATATAAAATAATCATCTTGTTTTAATTTTTACTAGTTTTCATTTCACTAAGTGACTTTTTCTTGACTTTGAACTCAAAATTTTGGGGCTGCTAACAGTAACTGTCTATCTAGATAACAGTATACGCCAAAACAATTTTTTTTTAACCAAAGGACCCTAAGGACAAGAAGAGGTATGGGAATAGTCTGTAATAAGAGTGCACTTCCTAAAATAGCATTCGATTTAGTGGATTCTATAGAACAGCTTGCCAGTAACTAACTATTCCTACCAGAGTCAGTGGAACCAAACTAAATAGACCACTGTAGGGAGAAGATTAAGTTAATTATGATAATTCACACACGGGAACAATATGCAACCTCTGAAGAATAAGCTTACGATGACATGGGAACTATTTTTGTTAAAAAATAAAGTAGGGCACAAAATGCTATATATAGTTGGGGAAAAAAAAACTTTGGTTTAAAAAATTTTAAGATACTTATGAGAAAAAGAAAGGGTATACAACACCACATGTTGGGAGTCTTATTTGAAAAGCATTACTGGATGTTTCCCATTCTTTTCTATTCTCATTTCTCAAATATTGCCTTTAGTATTTCTGTTTTAGTGTAGGGAAAAAATGAAACATTAAAGAATAAATTAAGGAGCTCCGGTAGCATAGTGGTTACGAATCAGGCTGTGAACCTCATGGTCAGCAGTTCAAAACTACCAGCTGTTCAACGGGAGAAAGATGAGGCGTTCTGCTCCTGTAAAGATTTACAGCCTCAGAAACCCTGTACAGGGTCGCTATGAGTCGGAACCGACTCCACGGCACATAAAAACAACAACAAGGTGGCCAATTAATTCAGTATCAAGCTTTCAATCATCTCTTTCCAGTAACTTCTTGTGAAACCTTTTATTGAAGACTATGTGTGTGAACATTTTAAAAAAAACAAAAAACTAAACACTGTCCACACAAGAGGGCTTCAAATAGTCCATAGAAAAATTCCATTATCTTTTTTTTTTAATGTTTTATTGTGAATTATGTGATAGTTTACATGGGAGAGCAACAATCTTACATTCATTCTATCGTATATCGTCTCATTGCCATGGTTACAATCCCCTCCATGCAATCCTTCCCCATACCCCCCATGTCTTCAGCACATATCTTTTAATTCAATTTTTCCATGAACTTTTTTGAAGCCCCCTTGTGTACATATATTCATTTATTTATACAAGGGGACTTCAAAAAAATCATGGAAAAATAGAATTAAAAGATATATACTGGAATTTTTCCTCATCCAGGTTCTTGACTACACAAGAACATAAATATATATAATTTGCTTCTGAGTGACATCCCAAGTATCAGGGATTTGTATAAACTGGTAATTAAGGGAATAGTTTTTACATGCTTAAAAAAGAGAATCTCAAACATTTAAAATATATAATTTTACAACAATCTTCTTAAAAATCTTACATAAACACAGCTCTTGGAATAACTGTGGTTCTTGTTGCTTAGTGCCGCTGAGTCGGTTCTGACTCATAGCAACCCTGTACAGATAGGGTTTCTGAGGAATGGCTAGTGAGCTTCAATCTTAGGGTTCAAATGACTTTGCAGTTAGGCACATTAACCCACAGCACCATACACTTCTGGGCAGCTATCAAGGTTTACAAGAGAAGAGATCAACAAAGCTTCTTGTCTCCTTTCCTGTGGATGGAAATGGGAATGAGGGGTGGTGGGTAGAGTGAGAATACCACCCACTGCTCATCATTTATCCCCTCTGCTTCATCTCTAGCTACTTCAAGCTCCCATTAACCAAGGTAACATGATGAGAGGATCGCTTCATAAGCCCATAATATTTAAATACAACTGTTGTTATTGTTAAGCGACTTTGAATCACTTTGACTCATAGTAACCTCCTACAGGGTTTCCATGGAGCAGCTGGCTGGCTGACCTTTTGGTTCCCAGTCCAGAGCTTATCCTACAGTGCCACATCAGGAGTCCAAATACATCTAGTCAATAGCTTTAATGTAACTTCATTTGTTTTACAATACATCCTAAGCTTAAGCACAAATTAAACATTCCACAAATACTATCTAAATGTGCAAAAAAAGTAATTTGATTGCTTTAACACATTAATAATCTTATAAATCCCTTCACTGAAAATGATCAAAAGGTCATTTTTCTATAAAAATAGTCTGTCATCTCTTAGCTAAGTCGTTCTTTCTTCATTGCAAAATAGGACTTTGTATGACTGACTCCAGCCACATGTTCTATACATTTCCTTTCTCCCCAACTTAAACCAATGCCTGAATGGGAATGCTGGCACCCACAGCCAAACCTGCACCAACTTGCTCAGCTATTTGAATGGCCACTATAGATTTTTCCTCCATGACAGTTAACACACAAATTGGTTACTGTGACCCCAGGTAAATGAGATTTGATCCCATTCCTACCTCTGACCACCAGTTAAAAATATATATATAGTCATGATGAATAGGAAGGAAGAACAGACTTGAAAAGGGAGTAGGAATTTTCCTTTTGCCTAGATAGTGTGTTTTAATTTCTGGTGCATTCCACACATGCCAGTAACATAGAAAAAGAGAATAATCACTGCCTACCCACCCCCACCTCAAAAACACAAACAAACCCATAGCCATTGAGTGGACTCTCACTCATAGTGACCTTATTAGATCAGAGGAGAACTGTCTGATCGGGTTTCCAAGGCTGGGAGTCTTTATACAAGCAGACCACCATATCTTTCTTCCTTGGAGCAAATGGTGGGTTTGAACCACTGACCTTTCAGTTAGCAGCTGAGAGCCACCAGGTATCCATGAAAGAGAGAGAATAAAGCTATAAAAGCTTAAACAGCAGGCCTGAGCTTTTTAAAATCCAAATCAGAAAAGCTTAAGTGTTGGTACACTGACCCCATCAGCCACATTCTGAGAGGAGACTCTTGCTCACAGTGGGACACTCCAGGTAATGAACAAAACCAGTCAGCCCAGGTTCTGGACTGCAAACATGTGACAGGGACACTGACAACATATGACACAAGGAATTTGCTGGAGGGATGGTAAGGAACTCACAGAACCCGCAGTAAAGCTGGAAGAACCAATTTAGCAAACAGCCAGGAGCTTCAGCGTCTAATTGGTCAAGACAAACTCTAGCCACACCCCGGATCAAGCTCGTCAGCACACCAGCACTGCTTCCACTGACCCCACCACCTCTGGATACATAGGCAATGCCAAAAATAACCTCCACTGACCCTGCCTGTCTGTATCACCCACCTTCAGTGCTCAAATTCTGGGATAGGAGAAACAGATGGGTCACGCTACAGAGCTTCCATACAGTGGGAAATCGACCCCAAGACAGAATATTTAAATATAAATGACAGAGAAGGCAACTGTTCACATTGGTTACAAGTAACTTAGCAGCTGATTACACTAGTCTCACAAATTTAACTCATCCAGTTTAAAATAAAATAACAAATTTCCAGTCAATTGTCTAATATAGGAGACTCTGCAAGGCTTTCTAAATCTTGTCACTTGAAATATGGTAGGGTTTCATAGGTTAACCAAACAGATGAGACCACTCACGTTTTAAACCATCATTGGGTAAAGCAAGGTGCGTAGAGAGAGCAGGATGAAAGAATCCTATGATTAGTTGATCACTAATGCTGTTATCAAAGTCAAATTTACTTGACCTTGATAAGAAGACATGGCTTTCAAACCCCCTGGCAGAACTGACTATAATGAGAATGCATATACCAGCAACTGCTATCACCACCACCATTGTTGTTGTGTGCCATGGAGTCAGTTCCAACTTATAGCTACCCTGTACAGCGTTTCCAAGACTGTAAATCTTTACGGGAGCAGAAACCCTCATCTTTCTCCCGTGGAACAGCTGGTAGTTTCGAACTGCTGACCTTAAGGTTCGCAGCCCGATTCATAACCACTACGCTACCAGAGCGCCTTACCACCACCATTAGAAGGGAAAAAATCAGAGACCAAGAAAGAAAGGTGGGGAAGGGAAGACTGCATAACAAATTCAAAGAAAGAATTACCAGGTAATTACCAGTCTAAAATCTTCCAGAAAGTACAACAAAAAGTCATAGGCAGATAATAAGGAAAGGAAAATAACAAAAATTAGAGAATCATTGTAAAGTCCAATAATAATTAATATGTACTCCAGAGTACGAGAAAAAGGGCAAAGGTGGCAAAGGTGGCAGAAATAATTTAAGAACATATTTAATAATTCACTCATATAATCCTTAAAGGATCCATTGAGCCCTCAGCACAGTGAAATTTTAGGACACACATATGAAGCGGAAGCCTGGAAACCTGCATAGAAGAAACTGATCATATACAAAAGATCAAGGATACTGACATAGTCTTCCCCATAGCTGCTCTAGAAACTGAATGATAATAAAGCAACTGTGATGGTTAAGGTTGTGTGTCCACTTGGCTGGGTCATGATGCCCAGTTGTTTCTCACTTAATTTAATGATATAGTTTAGCACTTGGGTAATGATGCAATCTGGCAGTTAAATAATGATGGAATCACCCAATAAGTTATAAAAGGAGTTTTCTCAGGAATGTGGCCTGCACCCATATACATATGGACATATTAGCAAAGGGTCCCTGCTTGCTCTGGATCCTGCACTCAGACCATCTTCATCGGACTTCTGGGTCTTGGGATTTGTTAGCCTCTGCAAGTTTCAGTTAAAAGTGGAATTTGTAGGTGGGCTGAAAACCCTGCATAGGTGCACATGGTTCTTATTTAGTCTTACTTTACAGCAAGAAAAGGCTGGAAGCTTTTTCAATGATTTAAAAACTGCACATGTAGCAAGTGAATGTGATTGTGGTGAAGAATTTATCGCAAGTTGGGCTTGGTCCAATCATTTCAAAGAGAGGACGAATTTACATTACATAAAAGGACATGTGTAAGTCAGACCTCTGTAACCTAGGTACTGCCTGTATAGGTAACATGATGGAGGTTGGATGAACAATCTACATTAAGGTTTTTACTAACATTATGATTTACATTTACATACTGACATATTTAGAAATAGTATCTTAGGTCACATTCCTATTGCTTACTACATGAGTTAAACCTTGAAATATTTAAAATATATACACGAGAGGGCTTCACCACACAACCAGTCTCCCAAATACATGCACTCTCTCTGTCTGTGGCCTTAGATTCCTCTTCACTTCACTCTGTTAGATTTGTGGACTGAATAGGCACCGGGTAAAGAGATCACAGCTCTCACTGAAAAAGCCCAAATGTACTCTAGGTGACGAGGTGTTTCAGGTAATTCATACAAACGGCATTATAAAAACCACACTACTTACTCCACAGTATCGGTCGCCATTAAATATCTGAGGGGGCACAGGGTTGCCCTGAGAAGGTTTCTTTTCTGGGGGGATGTTTTTGTACATCCATTGCCTCTGTTCCTCTGACATAGTGATGTCCACCTCCTCAAATTCTATCTTGTTGGCTTCCAGAAACCTGACCACATCCTGCTGCTGCTTCTTTATCTGAGGAGAGAAGACAAATAAGGAGATATGCTATCAGAACACTATGTCTAGATTTGAAATCGAATTACATTTGACCTCTCACTGTCAGAAGTCATTGCACTGATGAGAAAAATGGACTCCTAGCGTGTTGTAGGTGTGCTAGACTGGAAACCACAAGGTCGGTCCTTCAAACTTACCAGACGCTCCTTGGAAACCCTGTACAGGGTCACTATGAGTCAAACAGCACTTAACAACAACAACAACACTGCAGGCATCAGGCATTGCTCACTCACTTGATGTCTGACAGAACTAAATAAGTCCTAGTACAGTGATTTCTTCATATAGAACTCTGGGAGCAACTCAGATTATCTGGAAAGAAGAGACCATTAGACGAGATTTATTTAGTTCTCAGTGGGCCATAAAGCACTTCTCCGCATCTCCATAAGTTGACATTTACTGTCATGAAAGTTCCTGCCACCTCAAACCATTTGAAAATCATGTACAGCTCATCTGAGATGTCAACATATCATTGAGTCTTAGGAGCAACCACATTTTTATTCCCTCAGCAGACACGTTCAGATACACCACAGCTGTAGCCAATGTCAAGAAAACGGCCTTCCATCAATTCACACAAAAAATGTTTTCTACTTCCAAGGTAAGAGTAAACAACACACACCATCTTACTTTGAACTCTATTTCTTAACCTTTTTTAGACATTGGGGGTCATGTGTGATCTTAAAAAGCTGAAAACACTGTAGGTTTTCAAATTTTTATCTATCTCACAAATTTAATGTTCATGTTAAGTGACTGAGTCAGTTCTGATTCATGGAAACCATATAGAAGGTTTCCAAGGAACAGCTGGTGAGTTTGAACCACTGACCTTAGGTTCAAACCAACTTTATGGTCTAGGGTTTATCCTACAATGCCACACTAGGCTAATTTAATAATACATATTAAATAATTTTCACCACTCATCTGTCAGTTTGTCATACTATGATGGCTTGCAAGTTACTATGGTACTGGAATATATTTTAAATACAAGTAGGGTCACCCATGGAGTTCTGGTGTGGCACTACAGGATAAGCACTGGACCACAAAGTTGGTTTGAACCAGAAATTGGCTGTTCAAACTCACCAACCACTCCTCAGAACCCCTACACTGGGTTGCTACTGACTTGACTGCACTTAATAACAAACAACAGGATCACCCATGGTGAACAACTCTCAGGGGACTTTCCAAATGAAGCCAGACTAGGAAGAAGGAGAGATGGACTACTTCTGAATGGTTAGCCACTGAACATGGCCACATATAGTACCAAAAGATGAAAACATTATGAACTGCAGCAGAATACTATCAGATATAATACCAAAAGATAAGTCCTGCAGGTTGGAAGGCACTTAAGATACAATTTGCCTCCTCAAAGCACAGTTGACATTAATGACTTGAATGGAGCAAAGCTTTCAGGAGCTTCATTTGCTGATGGTGTACAATTCAAAGTAAGAAATAGCTGCAAAGATCCATTAGTAATTGGAACATGGAACGTACAAAGTACGAATCTAGGACAACTGGAAGTTGTCAAAAATGAAATGGAACACATAAAGATCAATATTCTAGGTATTGGTGATGGTGGTATGCTGTGCCTCAACTCATAGCAACCCTGTATAGAGTTTCCAATGCTGTAAATCTTGATAGGAGCAGAAAGCCGCATCTTTCTCCCATGGAACTGCTGGTTATTTCGAACTGCTGACTTTGAGGTTAGCAACCCGACCTGTAGCCGCTACGCTACCAATCAAATCGTATTGGATATTTTGAATCAGACAATCATATGGTTTACTATGCCAGAAATGACAAATTCAAGAGAATTGTGACTCAGTCATCATCAAAAAGAACAGAGCTCTGGTAGCATAGTGGTTACGAATTGGGCTGCAAACCTTAAGGTCAGCGGTTCGAAACTACCAGCCGCTCCGCGGGAGAAAGATGAGGCTTTCTACTCCCGTAAGGATTTACACCCTTGGAAACCCTGTACAGGGTCGCTATGGGTCGGAACCGACTCGATGACACTTAACAACAACAACAACATGAAAGGATCTCTGGTAGCGTAGTGGTTACGAATCGCACTATAAACCGAAAGGTCAGCAGTTCGAAACTACCAGCGGTTCCGCGGGAGAAAGTTGAGGCGTTCTGGTCCCGTAAAGATTTACAGCTTTGGAAACCCTGTACAGGGTCGCTATGAATCAGAACTGACTCCACGGCACATAACAACAACAACATGAAAGAAGAGTTAATAATATAACTATTATTTAAATTTATGCACCAGCCACTAAAGCCAGTGAAGATGAAATTGAAGACTACTACCAACTTCTTCAGTCAGAAATTGATCAAACATGCAATCAATTGGAATAGAAACACTGAAAACAAAGAAGAAGCATCAGTAGATGGAAAATAATGGCCTTGGGGATCACAAGAGAGAATTCTGCAAGACTAAAGGCATGTTGTTGTTTTGTTAGGTGCTGTCAAGTTGGTACCAATTCATAGTGACCCTATGCACAACACAACAAAACATTGCCCAGTCCTAGACCAACCGCACAATCATTGCTACGTTTGAACCCACTTTGCCAGTCCATCTTGCTGGAAGCCTTCCTCTTTTTCTCAGACCCTCCACTTTATCAAATATGGTATCTTTCTCTAGTGACTGGTCCCTCCTGACAATATATCTGAAGTATGAGAGATGAAGTCTGGCCACCTTGGCTTCCAAGAAGCACTCTGACTGCATTTCTTCCAACACAGATCTATTTTTTTTGGCAGTCCATGGTACTTTCAATATTCTCCTCCAACCCCGTAACTCAAATACATCAATTCTTCTACAGTCTTCCTTATTCACTATCCAACTTTCTCATGCATATGAGGTTACTGAAAATACCATGGCTTGGGTCAGGCGACCTTAGTCCTCAAACTGACATCTTTGCTCTTCAACACTTTAAAGAGGTACAGCAGATTTACCTAGTGTAATACGTTCATTGATTTCTTGACTGCTGCTGCCATGAGTGTTGATGGTTGATCCAAACAAAATGAAGTCTTTGACAACTTCAATCGTTTCTCCATTTACATGCAGGTTGTTTATTGGTCCAGGGGTGAGGATTTCTGTTTTCTTTACATTGAGGTACAACCCATACTGAAGGCTGTGGTCTTGAAATTTACCAGTAAGTATTTCAGTAAGTAGTTTAAGTCCTCTTCACTTTCAGCAAGCAAGATTGTAGCATCTGCATATCGCAGGTTGTTAATGAGTCTTCCTCCAATCCTGATGCCACAATTTTCTTTATATAATCCAATTTCTCAGATTATTTGCTCAGCATACAGATTGTATAAGTATGGTGAAAAAACACAACCCTGGTCACAACTTTTCTATTATTAAACCAGTTTTCCCTTCTTCTGTTTGAGTAACTGCCTCTTGGTCTATGTATAGGTTCCTCATGAGCATAATTAAGTGGTCTGGAATAGTCATACTTCACAATGTTGTCCATAGGTTGTCAAGATCCACACAATAAAAGCCTTTGCATAGTCAATAAAGCACAGGTAAACATCTTTCTAGTATTCTCTGCTTTTAGGCAAGATTCATCTGACGTGATAATATCCCTTGTTCCATGTACTCTTTCTGAAACCAGCTTGAACCTCTGGAAATTCTCTGTCAATGTATGGTTGCAGCTGTTTTTATATTACCTTTAGTAAAACTTTACTCACATGGGATTTCAATGATATTGCCTGATGATTTCCTCATTCTGTTGGGTCACCTCTCTTTGGCATATTCACTGCAAATTTCTTTTTAAAGTAACATAAAAGGCAAGTGTACACATAAAGGTGTCCTGGTGTGGCACTGTGGGATACAGCACTGGACTTCAAGGTTGGTTTGAACCACAAGGTCAGCAGTTCAAACTCACCAGATGCTCTTTGGAAACTCTATACAGAGTCACTATGAGTCAGAACGGACTCTATGGCACTTAACAACAATAACATACACAAAAACCTCATTAGATGGGCTACACAGGAATCAGATTGACTACAATTGTGGTGGAGAAGCTCAATATCATCAGCCAAAACAAGGCCAGGGCCAGATTGTGGAAGAAACCATGAATTGTTCATACACAAGTTCAGGCTGAAGCTGAAAAAAATTTAAACAAGTCCATGTGGGCCAAATTATGACCTTGAATATATGCCACCTAAATTTGAGACCACCTCAAGAACAGAATTGAAACATTAGACATTAATGACCAAAGACCAGAAGAGTTGTGAGATGACATAAAGAACATACAGGAAGAAAACAAAAGGTCAACGGCAAGAAAGAAAAGACCAAAATGAATGTTGGAAGAGACTGTGAAACTTTCTCTTGAAAAAGTTAAAGTGAAAGGAAGAAATGAGCATTCTGCTCTTGTAAAGATTTACAGCTCGGAAACCCTATTTAGAGTCATTAAATTGGCCGCACACCACCACCATTTTATCTGTATGCTGAACAAATAATACAAGGAACTGGGTTATATGAAGAGGACTAAGGCATTAGGATTGGAAGAAGACTCATCAACAACCTGTGATATGCAAATGATGTCTCATTTAAAAAGACTGAAAATACTTACTGATGCACCTCAATGTAAAAAAAAAAAAAAAAAAGTCCTCACAACTAAACCAGAGTGCTCCTTAGAAGTAAGGATGTCGAGACTTTGTCTCTTATACTTTGGGAATGTTACCAGAAAGGATCATCGCTGGAGAAGGATATCATGCTTGGTAAAGTGGAGGGTCAGTGAAAACCAGGAAGAACCTCAACAAGAAGGACTAGCACAATGGCAGCAACAATGGGTTCAAACACAGTAACAATTGTGGAGATTGTACAGAGCAGGGCAGTCTTTCCTTTTGTTGTACATAGGATCACTATGATTCAGAACGATTCAACAGCACCTAACAATAACAATTAAATAATTTAGATGGGTGACAATATCCAGTTGCCTTAAACACAGCATATAAAACATAAGAAA